TTCTTAGCAACAATGGCCAGATATCTAAGCTTCCGATACCTAATCATTTTCAGCATAGTGCTGCCAGGTTTCGACGATAACTAATATACAATCTAGCAATACAATTATGCATATAACAAGAGAGAGAAATTTTACTTGCATAGTGGTTGTGATGCTCATGAAGCCATCATCTTCAGGACGGCCAAGCTGACTGATGTCCTGATAAAAAAGATAAGCAATCCCCGGCAAATGGTGGAGTATGTAATAATATTGTTTTACAAACGCATTTCCAACCTATTTCCCACCCAAAAAAGAAAAAGAACAAAAAAACTAATAATCAAAAAACCAAGCTGCTAAAATATAAATTCTTGAGAGAGAGAAAAATGAATATTTACAATTTGAGCAGAGACTGGTTGCTGAGCCGCCATTGCAGCTGCCATACCGAACGATGAATAACAAAACCAAGCCCTAACCACGTAAACCAATCTTATTAACTCATCATAAAAAGACCCCAGATAAACCTCGCTTTGAAGATTTTTGTGTGCGCATAAGCCTTTCGCCACACATATACTATATGTTGTGTGTGTCATTGAGGATCGAGGGATTCTAGCGGTACCTCGACGCGAATCAGATTGGAGGGAACAAGTAAGAGAGAAACTGGACTTTGTTCTCTCTTCTTTTAGCTTTTTCAAATTTTCTGAGAATTTTTCCGCTGTTTTCTGGTCGAATCCTTTAGCGGTGGATATGCGGCGACAAAAGTAGAGAGAAAGTGGATGGTTTCCTTTGTATTTAGCGGGGGTCGAGAGTTCAACAGATTTCTTAATATTTATAATTTTTCTTGGATTGTATTGAATTTAATAGAATTTAACACAATTCATAAGGTTTTAATGAATTTGTATTTTGTAAATTTTAATAGATTTTATAGATTCTCTCAAATTTGTAGACTTTTGATTAACGGGATGCCCTCAATTAAGATTTTGATGAATTTTAAGAGATTAAAAACTACGAATTTCATGAATTTGAATAAATTTTCACAAATTCCATAAGATTATCATCATATTTGATGACATTTCAAAGAAAAAAAAAAATAGTTTTTAACCTTTAAATCTATCCAAATCTTTTAAAATCCTTTTAATAATGAAATCTTTGTAAATCTATCATATATTGAGGATACTTAAATTTTAAAGGATTTCGTTAAAATTCATTAAAATTCCAATTGGTGACACCTAAAGTTTAAAAGATTTCATTAAGATTCATTAAAATCTCAATTGGATACACCTAAATTTTAAATGACCTCTATGCCTTATTTGTCCTTTTTTTCCTTTACATATTTTTATACACAAATGCATCGATGTAGTTATAGTTGCACTGTCTAGATTTAGTTATCTGTTACATTGTAATTTATGATCATTAATTTGTCTTCGAATTAATTGATCTTGTTACGTTCTTTTGTCCATTTCATTACTTTTCATGTCCTCGTATTTCTCTATATTTCTCGCTTAATATTAATCTCAGTATATGTCAAAAATGTATTATTTTTTATTTCTGTAATTTTAGGGTTTTTCTGTTGATTCATATGGATTTAACTCGGGATCAGTCTGAAGATCGATTTTGGCACTAAAATCAGATCCATTAAAGCCTCAAATAGATCAGATTTGGAAACAAGTGGGGGATCATAGACGTTTTGCTGGAAATTGGTTTAAAGATTGAAAATTTGGTTAAGTGTCAAAACTAAAAACTTGAAAAAGTGACTTTCATTTCAATTTCGGTCAAATATTCGGACTTGGTCCGATAGTCAAATTATAAATGTAAATAGACCAACTTATTTTACTCGTTGTGGCATACTTGGAATCTCAAAACCAATTTCGGATAAATGAGAAATTACTGTCCAAAATTGGGAAGAAAAGAGAGGAAATTGCTGGATATTTGCCTATGTATGTCGTTCGCCAACGCTGGACTGTTGCTTGAGCGACAGGCTAGCGATGAAGTCACTATTTTTATCGCTTGAGCAAAACAACGGCTACAGGCTAGCGATGATGAATGATGCGACCTTTGGTAAGAGTTGTTGAGTTTGGGGCGTGACAATTCATTCACAATCCCTTATGCTCTATAAATAGGACCCATTGGACTTCCATTAGACACCCCATACCATATTTGCATTAAGCATTGCATACAAACTCTTGCAAATCACTTCCAAATTCATTCAAAACCGTTTTCTTCTTTGTAGAGAGAAACTCCGTCGAAAATTCGCCGTAACTTGTGGTTTGAAATGCTTCTACCACAAGTTGAATCCGTTGTATTTTGGGAGACAAGTGCCGTGAATCGTGAGTACCGTTGCGGGACAATTTTCTCTTAAAGAAATAGTGAAAATCACTTGACTCAAATTGTTCTTGTTCTTCTTTATTTCTGGCTACCCTTTGTTTTCATTTGTAGCTTTCATATTAAATTTTCAATCACCTTGTTATATTGTTTAGTCATGTTCTTGCGGATTAAACTTTGCTTTTTTCGATATACAATAACCCTTTCACCCACACTTATATTTAGCCCGAGTCACCAACAATCTTAAGACAAAATCTTGTGTATGTGGGGGTTGTTTATCTTTTCTCTTCATCTTTTGGAATACACATTCGTGTGATAATCCCTTTTGATTTATTTACGTTGAACTTCTGTTTGTGCAACAGAAATGGCCACTATTAAGGCTACTTCGAGTCAAAATGGTTCAAACAATGTAGTTTCGTAATTGGCTATACCAATTCAAAATACTGCAATCCCGCATAGGAAAATCGAAAAAGTTTGGAGGCTTGAACTTCAAGAGATGACAACAAAAAATGTTCTATCTTACCACTCTAAACTTGGCAAAATTTCAGAAGGAAACTATACCAACGGTACAAGAATGAGACAATAATCCTGAATTGATTATTGCTTTGGATGCATGGAAGCACTCAGACTTGCTGTGCAAAAATTATATTCTAAACGGATTGGACAACACACTATATGGAGTGTATAGTTTGAAGAACTCGATCAAGGAACTGTGGGATTCTTTGGAGAAGAAATACAAGATCGAGGATATCGGAACTAAGAAGTTCATAGTATGCAAATTTTTGGACTACAAGATAGTGGATTCCTAAACGATGATTAGTCAAGTGCAAGAACTTGAAGTTCTGTTACATGATATCTATGCCTAGAAGATGGAATTGAATGAATCTTTCCAAGTTGCTGCCATCATTGAAAAGTTCCCTCCTATGTGGAGAGATTTCAAAAACTACCTCAAGTATAAACACAAGGAAATGAACTTGAAAGAATTGATTATCCACTTGAGAATCGAAGAAGACAATAGGAAAACCGATAGAAGGCCTATTGTCCAACTTGGAGCAAACTTTGTTGAAACAAACTCTAAGGCTGTTAACAACAAACGAAAGTTCTCCGGTGAGGCATCGCGAAGTGACAACTCTAAGAAGGCCAAAAAGTTCAAAATGAACTGCTACAACTGTAGAAAGACCGGACATCGCTCAAGCGAATGTCGAAAACTAAAGAGAAATTCACATGCTAACATGATTGAAAGAGATACCATTTCTGAAGGGATGCAAGAGCTGAATTTATTTGCAGTTGTTTCCGAGTGCAACCACATTGGAAACTCAAGGGAATAGTGGGTTGATACTGGTGGTACCTGTCATGTGTATGCAGATAAGGCAATGTTCTCCATCCAATGTTCTTGAACACACTATTCTCTCTAGATTTTTCTCTCCCAATGCTAGGAGGACAAACACCACTAGAAATTGTGGTTTCAGCTTTGGATATTTCCGTCGCTAAAGGCCATTCTTCCGTCGATAAACCAACTTGCTGTGGAAATTTGTCGTCGACACATACCATTGGTGAAAGTCGGATCGGTAATTTTTTCGATGGAAACATGACCATCGGTGATTACCGACGAAGATACCTCCAATACATATCCATCAGAAATACCGACGAATTTGAATAGACGTTATTAGCGTCAAGTTTAGCGATAGTGTAGTTCGAAGGAAATTACCGATGGATGTTTTCATTTCTATTTTCGTACAGATTAGGGATCAGTGTATAAGTTAACAGAATCCTTAAGATCTCAACTGCTCTGTCAATCGATAGTAGAGATGGAATCACTTCAACTTTGTGCAATTAGATGCATCAAAAATAAGAAAACTCAAGGAAAATAAGTTTAAGTGTGCAGTTAAATCCTATATAACCATATAAAGCAACACCATCGTAGACACAAAGTTCCAACAATCAATTTTTTTTTAATGGAAACTGTTGATGATTTAAAATTGAAGAGGACAAAAGCTGTTGAACGAACTATCTTTAGAAAGACAAAAATGTGCATAATATAGAAAACCAAAATGTGACTTTAATGATCAAAAGGGAAAATGCAATTAAACAATTGAAAGAAAACAAAAAACTAGTAAGATCCAGTAATATATAGGTTTGGCACATGAAAGTATCATCTGAACCATCTATAAAACAGATTGAATATCTGATTTGAGACTACCTCAACATCGACCAATTGGGTATCCTTAACTTCATACACACCTCAACATCAATCAATCCAGTATTTTTAACTTCATACTCAGAATTTCCACTTTGCTCTTTCCTATTTAGAAGAGCGAGAATGTCATGGGCCAAAGATTCCTCAACGTTAGGACTCTTAATGATAGTAAAGTCAATATCTCCATGATGTAAGTACGTCTTGAGTGGAACTAACCCATAGGGGAACACCTACGACATGTGAATGCAAAGTTAGCAATACTAAGTCATCAAAAACTTTGTTAAGGACAAGATGGAATGAAAATTACAAGTATTAGCTTAACCATCAAAATTCTTGTGAGTCCCAATATTTTTGATAATAATCAAAACCAGAACCAACATATAGGTTAGAATGAATATATAAAAACATCCTTTTTGGATCTATAAGGTGATTTAAAATAATATATGTGAACCTTATATTGATTATTTAGCGAAAAATCCTCTTGATATCAGTATAATCTTATCCGATCCATATTGGAATCTAAATTATATAAACATGGAAACATAAAAAAATATATAAATATAACACTACAATAAAAATATATTTTTAAAAAAGTTAATTAAAAGAAGAAAACTCTCTTACTTCTTTTCCCGTTTAACAAGAACACACTATTCCCTCTAGATTTTTCGCCCCCAATGCCAGGGGGACAAACAGTTCAGCATTGGAAATTTTCATCGCTAAAGCTCATTCTTCCGTCGATAAACCTACTTACCATGAAAATTTCTCGTCGACACATACCATCGATGAAAGTCGAGTCGGTAATTTTTTTGATGGCAACATATCTGTCGGTGATTACCGACGAATTTATCTTCAATTATATATCCATCAGAAATACCGACATATTTGAATGGTTGTTATTAGCGACAAGTTTAGTGATGGCATAGTCCGAAGGAAATTACCGATGAATTTTTCCATTTCTATTTTCGTACAGATTAGGGATCAGTGTACAAGTTAATAGAATCCTTAAGATTTCAACTATTCTGTCAATCGATAGTAGAGATGGAATCACTTCAGCTTTTTGCAATTAGATGCATCAAAATAAGAAAACTGAAGGAAAATATGTTTAAGTGTGCAGTTTAATCCCATGTAACCATATAAAGCAACACCATCATAGACACAAAGTTTCAACAGTCAAGTTTTTTTTAATGAAAATCGTTGATGATTTAAAATTGAAGATAAAAAAGCTGCTGAACGAACCATCTTTAGAAAGACAAAAAGGTGCATAATACCGAAAACCAAAATGTAACTTTAATGATCAAAAGGAAAATGCAATTCAGCAGTTGAAAGAAAACAAAAAACTAGTAGGATACAGTAATATATAAGTTTGGCACATGAATGTATCATCTAGACCATCTATAAAACAGATTAAATATCTGATTTGAGACTACCTCAGCATGGACCAATTGGGTTTCCTTAATTTCATACTCACCTCAACATCAATAAATCCTGTATTTTTAACTTCATACTCAGCATTTTCACTTTGTTCTTCCCTATTTAGAAGAGCGGAACGTCACGGGCTAAAGATTCCTCAATGTTAGGACTCCTAGTGATAGTAAAGTCAATATCTCCACGAGGTAAGTACGTCTTGAGTGGCACTGACCCATAGGGGAACACCTATGATATGTGAATGCGAAGTTAGCAATACTAAGCCATCAAAGACTTCAATAAGTACAAGATGCAATGAAAATTACAAGTATTAGCTTAACCATCAAGATTCTTGTCAGCTCCAATATTTTTGATAGTATTCAAAATCAGAACCAACATCTATGTTAGAATGAATATATATAAATGTCCTTTTTGGATCAATAAGGTGATTCAAAATAATATATGTGAACTTTATATTGTTTATTTAATGGAAAGTCCTCCCGAAGTAGAATCTTATCCAATCCATATGGAAAGCTAAATGATATAAACATGGAAACATGAAAATAGACATAAATATAACATTACAATAAAAATATTTTTAAAAAGTTAATTAAAAGAAGAAAACTACTAATTAAAGCTTAATGTTTTCAAAACCTCAAGCACATGCCTTGAGGTGCACCTCATGCAAGGTATTCATTAGGAGTCTCAACACATATGCTCTGATTGCCGTATGCCAAGGTTGGAGGATGCACTACTCCTTAACCCATGTTTGTCTCTCATTATTTCAAAACTCTTTTTTTATGTACTCATTTTCAACCATACATTCACACATTAAAATATTCTACAAGTAAACCCAGTATTTTTTCCTACTTTTAACCACAGATTCTCCAAAAAAGGACTATTTAAAAAAATATTTTTCCAAAAACATGATGAGCAAACAAGGCTTAATCTTTCCCTTGCCCTTAAATGATTGTGTTTACACGTTTTGACATTTGAATTGGTCATTTTCATAGTCCAAATCATTTCAACTATTTCTCGAATTCTTTTAAACGTAGTTAAACCTAAAGAATGAAAACAACGCTCATACGAGCCCTAGCCTTCTATTATCAGCAATCATGAACAAATAACCAAAGACCTGAAACATGTGAATGTACTCTTCTCTGTCTAAAAGGGCCTAATTAATACAATCAATGATGCATCATAATACAACACCTCAAAAGCAATGGAATTTCATAAGAACATATACCAAATTCCAATATACCCACAAAAATTTACAAATTAAACATCCCATAGAACTCACAAAATATAAATCACACTTATAATGGAAGGTGTTCTTACAGAATGACACAAAAAAACAAAAAGAAACTTCAAGAAATTAGAAGACCTCTATTCACCTTATCGTTAAGGATACTGTCGAAGAGTCTACTAATGCAGTCAATGATTTCTTTCCGCTTCTTCTCGGAACCGAGTGTTGGATGCACAATATTCAATACTTTCTGAGCAACTACCTCCACTATAACCCAACACTCTACATTTATCGTCCTCAAATCACGGAATGGGTTTCGAAACAAACCATAACCAGGAATCATGCGGCCGTCCTCCGCCATATCGCCAGTATTTTGATCCACCGCCTCAGAATCACTCAAACTCATTTTTTTTTACTTATTTATCATTCATTCAAGTAAAAAAATCCAGCACCAGAATTAGAAGAACTGTGTATTGTGTTTATTATTTATACTGGGTTCGTGATGTTAATAAAAATGGAAAGAATTCAAGAAACAAAAAAGAAGGGTTTTAAATGTGGGATTTTGTAAATTGTTTCAAGTTCCCGCCTAACAAGAACACACTATTCTCTCTAGATGTTTCTCCCCAATGCCAGGGGGACAAACACTACTAGAAAATGCAGCTTCAGCATTGGAAATTTTCGTCTCTAAAGGCCATTCTTCCGTCGATATACCTACTTACCGATGAAAATTTCCCATCGACACATACTATCGGTGAAAGTCGCGCTAGTAATTTTTTGATGTTAACATAACCTTCAGTGATTACTGACGAATTTACCTTCAAATACATATTCATCAAAAATACCGACGAATTTGAATGGATGCATTTACTGTCTCACTGTAACATACTGCATGTCATGAAACGGACTTTGGCGTTGACATGAATCAGATGGAGTAGGGTAGCGGAGAACCTGAAGGTACGCTTTACGAAATTATGATTCTCAATGCCAATATTGGAGAAAACCAATATATTAATTGTAGCACATAATATTNTTTGGCGTTGGGTGGTGGAGAACCTGAAGGCACTCTTTACGAAATTATGATTCTGAATGCCAATTTTGGAGAAAATCAATATATTAATTGTAGCACATAATATTAGACTGGAGCAGATTTGAGGGCAACAACTTTGTATCCTTCCTTGCATTCCAGTTGAAAAATTAGGACTTGTAATTGCTTTTAGTAGTCTGTTTTAATTTCCACTATTTATCTGTACTTCATTGCTTTTAGGAGTTTTATTTTCGTTGGGTACGTTACCAAGTTTCGTGGCCCTATCTCACTTGGTCAATCCACTGAACAATGTGTACAATGTGTTGTTTACATCTTCTTGTCAGTTTATGTTTTTAGATTTTTGAACTATCTAGCTTAAGCCTAACCATATGTAATGATAAATTATTTTCCAGTTTGACTATGTATACTTTTTTACGTTTCATTTCGTTT